TAACCTTATGGAAATGATGAGCAATAAACATGGTAAATCTAATTTACATTCACAAGGTCTATTGTGGGTAATTCTTACTCACTCGAATATAGGGTTTTAGACTAACCTTATGGAAATGAGCAAGAGCATGGATTCCAAACCTCTTAACGGAATCCAATAATATTGGGTTCCAGACCACTCAACGAAACCAAAAAATTAAGCAATTTCTCATAATCTACCCAGACCTGTCACATGTATAATCAGTGCCTACATCATGGGACGGGTGCACTAGGCAACCAGAACTCTAATAAGTTGCGAAGCTCGGGTGAGTGACAATAATACAAATATGTGATAATCAATAAAAAGAAAGACCATTGACCATAGTTTATAAACCTCAAATATAAGTTCGTAATTATAAAAACATAGTCAAGTCTCTAAAAATTCTGAATGAGTCACTCAGACATCCAACGGCTTTTCCAATTCAAACCACAAAGATTCTCAAAAACTATCATTCATAAATACACTAAAATCTAGGGCTAGAAGGACACAGTTCGGCTTAAGCCTACATAAGTAACCAAACAGGAAGTGACCCCCCCCATAGTAGATTAACCAAGCAGAGCCACCCCTGAGTAACCATGTAGGTAGTGACCTCTCATCGCGGATTAACCAAGCAGAGTCACTCCTACGAATCTATTAGGCAGTGATCACCCATTGCGTATTAACCAAGCATGATCACCCCTAAGTATGTATGGCCATAAAGATCGCCCGTTGCGGATTAACCAAGTAGGGCCATGGTCTCCTATCGCAGATTAACCAAGCAGGGCCAAGATAACCAAGTAGGTAGTGACCTCCTATCATGGATTAACCAAGCAGAGTCACACCCACGGATCTGTTAGGCAGCGATCACTCATCGCGGATTAACCAAGCATGATCACTCCTAAGTATACATAGCCATAAGGATCGCCCATCGTAGATTAACCAAGCGGGATCCATAAATAGTATGGTCCCCTATCACAGATTAACCAAGTAGGATCATCCATGTACCATTGCTATATGGTGCAGACTTGGTGTCACCTAACCCCGTGACACTAAGGTAACGATCTCCTACTAGCCCTCAGTTTAACAAACATTTCAATATGCACTTCAAATCACTTTTTCACAAATATTTCCAATCTATGAATCGAATCACATTTAATAAAAATAGATCGATGACCAATTATAAAAATCACATTTATAAAACAAAGTCACATCCACAAAGGATACTAATATAAGAAAACAGGGTAATAACCATATCACATATATTAAAGTCACTCACCGAATCAAGTACTCAAAGCCTCACTGAGTCTTTAGTAATACTAATTTTAGTAATTCAAATGGTTCAAGACATGTTGACCAAAAGTCAACTCTCAGTCAACGTTGGGTCCACACCATACTAATTTAATCCGGAAGATCCGCATATCGTATTTCTGACCCGTAATGTTCTAAGGTCCACATTATGCTCATAGAACAACATACTAAAGTCTCATCACGATCCAACGGTCGGATCTCCACCAATCTCAAATTCAAATGACGGTCAACAATTAGTTTTACAAACTTAAAAATCCAATTCGAGAAGATCTGTACGTCAGATTTCCAATCCGTCAGTTCTTACTATCCTCAAATATTATGTACTATTACATATTTAAGTTTTATGTCGATCCAATGATCGGATCATCAATTGATATAATAACCCCGTTGTAGCCAACTAGGTGGTCAACTACGAAACTATATTAAAACATCAGAATTCCACTAAACGGATGTCAAACATGGAATTAGGGCATCAAAGTTAGCCTAGAATGGCCAGGTGGGGTCTCGGCCCACGCGCCGCTGCACGCGGCTGCCAGCCGTCCCAACTCGTCAGAAAATCCAACTAATTCCAAAAATTCCAAAATTCACATAATTGTAGATCTCAATGAGTAAAGCAAGTTTCATACATGTGACCAAGGTCAATTTGGCCGGGAAAAGCCTTAATTCGCCACGAACCCGTCGAAACCCTAAAAATGGTGTTCTTGATTCGACGCCAAAACGAACTCCGACACCCTAACCAATGCTTGGGCTTTGTTCATGAGATTGAGGGAAGTCTTTTGTTGGTGGTAGTCGATGGTAATCTTTGTCGGATTCACCGAAATATGGGAAAACTCGTCGGACAACCCGGAACTTTGTGGCTTTGATTTGTAAAATTGGGTTTGAAATTTAAAAATCTAACATCACAAGGACATTAGGCTCACCGAGAGCTTTCCATAGATACCGAAACCATCTCGAATGGACATCGAATGGAAGAGATAGAACCAGGTCGGGTGGAGAAACCAGGTTGGCCGGTTCTCTCTTTCGCCTTTCCCTCATTTCCCTTCTTGCTTTCCTCTCATTTCTCTTCTTTTCTTTTTATCTCAGCCGTCCACGTGTCATCATAGATAATGGCTCCAATAATCTGGAGCCTTCTAGATGAAGCCAAAATTACAAAGATAAACCTAACTTTAAACGTTAATAACTCTTTCGTTATAACTCCGTTTCACAAACGGTTTGCGCATACGCGTTCGTGAGATCGTGCTCTATTCGAAAATATAATTATGACCTCGAAAGGTCTCCAAATTTTAAATAAAAAATTTCCAAACTTCAAACTTCATAACTAGTTTAATTAAAATCTAAATTCAAATAAATTGATATAAATTCTCGAAAAATAATACAAATACGTAGATCATAACAGTGAAATCCAGGAACAAGAATTCACATCTAAGTATCTTGATTTGATAGCCACTTTGTAGCTCAACCATGGACTTAAATATTTTGAAAATGCAGAACACTTGTGACTTGTGTTGCAAGAAAAATACCCAACACATTCTAGTATGACCATCAATAAATGTGAGAAAAAATATCTTGCCCCCAAAAGTGGTGACTTGCGTTGGACCACAAATATCATAATAAACAAGCTCTAAGAGTTGTAATGTTTTCCAAGTCTTATCCTTGTCAAATGGTCCTATGTGACCCTTCCCTATAGCACATCTAGAGCAAACATGCTTAGAGACTTGTAGTCTAAGTAAACACTGCACCATTTCTTTGCTTTGTTGGAGAATCAAACTAATGTAGTCTATATGTCCAAATCTCATATGCCACATCCAAGATGACTCTTCAACTGTTGCTTTATTTGCTATAGTGTGATTGATATATTCAAGAGCTAAGGGAAAACATCTATTTCCCTTCATTGGAACACTTGCAATCAAATCTTCCATCTGTCTATCTCCATAAATATCAACCATGAAATCATCAATTACAGGCCAATATCCGTGTTCTACCATATGTCCTACTCCCAATAGGTTCTCATCTAATCCTGGTACTATCAAAACTTCTTTGATATACCTAGTTCCACCCTTCATTTCTATAACTAGAGTACCCTTGCCAGTTGATGGTACTAAGTCTCCATTACCCATTTTAACTCTACACCTCACGGTTTTACCAACATCAACAAACAAAGACTCATAGAAGGTTATATGGTTACTACATGCACTATCAACATATACTATATGTTCATATATGTTCCAATAATAGCAGAATGGCAGGCATAAAACATTGTTGCAATCTCAGTTACTTGATTGGCAAAGTTTGCTAGTTGTCCAGTCTTAATAGGCTGATCACAGTCCTTGATAAGATGCCCAAATCGATTGCATCCATCTCACTTAGGCTTCCTTTTAAACCAACACTCACCATGGTAAAGCTTGTCATAATGTTTGCACTTTCCATTTGAACTGATCTAATTTTCCTCCTTTATCATTTTTTGACACCTTGGTTCACAGCTTATTGAGGTTTTAGATCTCATTTCTTGCCTTTTGATTTTCAATTCTTCTTTGGTTTATGGTTACCAAAGGAAAAACTAGACTGAAATCCCTTTGGATTCATATTCATACTGGCAAATGCTCTCTCAGTGCACCCTCAGCATGTCCATCAAGACATTCAAATCATCTCAAAGTAGCAACAACTTCTTACACTTCAATGATTTCAATATCCTTAGTTTGTTCAATTACATAAAAAACAAGATCATAGGCTTTTGTTAGACTTATGAGCAATTTCTGAACCAATCACTCTCTGGGTAATTTCTCACCAAAATTTTTCATCTGATTCACCAACTCGAGAAGATGAGTGAGATACACAGACAAGTTTCATCATCCTTCATCTATGTGTACTCGAAATCACAACGCAGACCCTGCAACTAGATGGATCTCACTTATTTATCGCCATGAAATTCTTGGTGTAAGATGTCCCAAACACCCTTTGAGGTCTCCTCATTTGAGATTTTGAGAAAAATATCTTCTGAAACAGCTCCTTGGATAATATCCAAAGCTTTTGCATCTTTCATTAGCTTATCACTAAGAAATGCTTTCTTTGAAGCAGATGAACTTTCATCTTCAACCTTCTTGCCCTTCGATTCTAGAATTTCAAGTCCTTTTTCAACTAAATCCCAAATTCCATGAGATTCGAAGATGGTTCTCATTCGGATCTTCCAAAAATCATAGTTGTCACCCTTGGATATTGGAACCCGGAGATCACCACCACTTAATCCAGTCATTTTAGAACTGAATCGATGAACTGAGATGAAAATTTTACGTTGGATTTTCGAGCACAGCAATCACAGATTCGATGCCTCGATTCTAGATAAAACCTAGACTCTCGATACCATGTTAAGATTTGGATAGTATTTCATTGATAAGCTTTTGGATTCGAAGGGACCAACAATGGAGAAGAAAAGCTAGAGAAAGAGTTCTATGAATGGAATAATCACAGCTACAACATTCTAACCGTTGTAGAATGTTGCACACTTCATTTATAGCTTCAGTGATCATAACCATTCAAATACATAGGCCACTGTGATTATGACGCGTGGTAGGTATAAGGCATATGAGCCATTAAAAATGAAAGATTGGTCTAAGACCCTACACTTGGCATATAAACTTAAGTTGTTACAACCAAGAAACAATTATACAAAATGAAAACAGAGAAATCTATTAAGTCAATCATTTACTAACAAGAATTAGTAAGCAACTTACTTTTTAACAATAATGGCACTCAAACCAAACACATGAACAACACATCAACGTGACGTGAAACACATTTAACCATTGCAATTCATGCAACAACAAACCAACCTTTGATACTACGAAGGAAGTTCAAGTTCCATCCCGAATCCATCCGCAATGGGAGAGAAGCCAACCCCCATGCAGTGTTCCTCAATTTTCGAACACAACTATCTATGTCCTCGCGCATTAGCCATTGGGCTGGAAACGGGCTAGTTTTGAGAAAAGCCCATTATCCATTAGCCCATCTTGGCATGTCATCACGTGACCGTACTCCAGTATCACGCAATAACTTTTTCGAAATTGTAAACAGCTCAAAATGGAGTTGCGAATTTCTGCCAACAAACATTGCAAATTACAGAAGTGTATAGCATTTATGTACAAGTATATATACAACATTGATCCAGAACAACAAATCAATCAGAACACAAAAAACTTTTGAGTCACTACATGTTTCTAACACAAAACCAAAAGCTATGTTCTCAGCAAAACTAAGAGCAAAGTAGCCTACCTAGCTCTACCGGAAGGAGAAGAAAAATTTAGACATTCTACGCTGTTGTTGTGTTCCTGTGCGTACTTCGCAAAATTTCCATGATCACTAATCAGAAAATGGGAAGAAAAATGCTCAGACTTCTCTGGAGCTAAAATAAATTAAGGAAAAAATATATATAAATATCCCTAAAGAAATCTCGATCGAGAAAATGTTATGGAGGCGAATCTAAAGAAAAAAATCAGCAACAGGTCAACAAAATTGTCTTTATTTTCCCTTTCCCATAGCCCCTTCTCGCTGACTCCTGAAGTGACTGAGAAGCTGCTGTGCCTGCATAACATATGTAAAGCACAAATTATCTTCTTTGTCCCACAACTCTATATTCCGACAAACTCACGCAATGCTTGGCATAGCTTCGGTTTTATGCTGACTCGACAGGGATAAACACTGAGTGAACGCCCTGGCAGTGTTCTAGGTTGTCCTAAAGAAACCATACATGGCATTTTATGTGCACATTGGATGTTTTCTAACAAACTTTCGACAATATAGATTGATCTCCCCGGTAATGGTAAATTATTGGGTTGTATCTGCGTTAGGGCAATGAATGACGGCAGGAAGAGAATTGTTTCACCAAACACAAGGAAATCATCAGTATTGAACAATCAAATTTTTTCCTCATCTTTTTTGAAATATTTCTGTTCCCTTGCCTCCGCCATTATTTGGCACACTAACCAGTAAGCAGATCAACAGAGAGCTATATATATAGGCAAGAAAAATGTTTAAGCTGCATACCTTTTCCTTTGCTCGTGGTGTGCCAGACTGAGATAAGGCAACCAGGGGAGGGACAGCTCCTTCCTGAAGAACGAGGGTGCAAAACTTTGGACTATGAAGGCACAACTGCAACAATACGGAGGCAGCATTCTCCTTTCCTCTATGGGAACCTGATTCAACAATCTCAACTAGTAACGGAATGCCCCCTTCCCGTGTAATTGCTATGCGGCCCTCTGCAATGGTGGACAAATTTGCCAGGAGAGCAACGGCCTTGTCAACCATCCCAGAATCAGGGTCCATCAAATCAATAAGATGCTTCACAGCCCCAGCTTGAACTAGGCGAGCTTTATTTTCATGAAAAATTGACAGATTAAACAATGCAGTACCAGCATCTTTCTTCCCCCGAAGAGTCCCTGAGGCTAGAAGATCAACCAAGGCCTTAACTGCACCAGACCGACCAATTTTTGCCTTGTATTCGTCCAACACAGAGAGGCTGAACAAAGTTGCAGCAGAATTTTCTTTCGCTCCGTCACTTCCTGTTTTTAGAACATGGATTAGGGGATCAATTGCCCCTGCTTCTGCAATCATCGCTTTGTTGTCTTCATTAATTGATAAATTCAAAAGAGCTGTCACAGCGTGCTCTTGTGTTGTCAACTGTCCTGAATATAGAAGTGAAAGTAATGGCGTGATAGCACCACACTGGCCTATAATAGTTCGATTCTCCATATTGTGCTTTCCAAGAAGCCGCAACTCTTCTGCTGCCATAGTTTGCACTTCATTTGACTGGCTCTTGAGGTCTTCAATTAAATTCCTGACATGGGATGCTGTTGTCAACTCATCGGATCCTGAACTAGAAAATGGAAGCAGCTGCCTATCAGGATAACTGGGGCTATCAGTCCATGCCCCTTCTGCTTTTGTCTTGGAAATGTGACATAATTTTCCTGATAACCCAGGGGGAATTGCTGATTGTTTCCTTGGAGTAGAAGCAACCGGATGCTCCGATGTGATTTCTCCAGACAACCTACGAACATTTTCATGCTTATTAGATATCCCTGACACCTTAATCGATGCTGGAGGTGCATAATCAATACTGGAAACAGCACTAGTGGCTGATTCACCCCTGCTATGACTATATGACTGTTTTGGTGATGAGTGGCCTTTCTCGTTGCTATCGCATCCATTGGACTTTTCTCCACCTAATCTAGGAGAGACATCTTTCTTTTGCTTCTCAAATATGTTTCCAACTTCAAGAGATGACCTCGATGTCGAATTGCTACTGTGTGTAGAGCAATGCAAACTATCTGTGTGAGTTGAATCTGCAGGAGATACTTGATATGATGGAGAAGGGACCGAGATAGCATTAGAGCCGTCAGAGTTCGCCGTAAGTTTTATATCATTTTCCTGACACCAGCTTTCTATCATAGCTTTGACAGTATAATTGGGAATGAGATTAGTATGGGACAGCCTCTGTCGGGTTTTTGGGCAAATAGTTAGCCCATGATCAATCCATTTTTGGATGGAAGATCTCTCATAGGTTTGACCTGAAGCTACAATCACAGGGTCCAGCATGAGTTCTGAAGACAGAGCGCAGCGGAAGTATGAAGGGATCGGGACGCCAGATACGGTTTCAAGGCCCTCAATTTTGACCATGAATTCACGAATATGGGAGACAAGAACCACAATTTGGTTAATTTGATCTAATTTCCCTCTAACATCACTGACTTCGACATTCATTCTTTCCTTTTCTACAGCAATGCTTTCTTTCAGCAGTTCTTGGTTTGAAGTCAGATTAAGCAATTCGATAATTTTCGTAAGAAGTTTGGTGGAAGGCATGACATCTTTACTTTGACTTCTCACAGCCTCTTCTAAGTATTCTGTTACTCTTTCCAGTTTCAAAGATTGAATTTCCTGTGTACAGTGCTGAAACAATTTACACAGATTAGAGATGCATTTGTCTTGACTTCTGATGAATCGAACAACATAAATACAAATAACTAGTGGGATGAGGATTATAAAGTTTCAAAGAAATTGGTTAATATTAAATAATTATAAGAATGAATATTAGAAAGTTTGTTAAATCAACCTCGTTTTCTTTTTCCTTTTTTCCTTTTTTCTTTGTAAGAAAATGATACATACAGAAGGCAGTTTGAACTTAGCAAATACCTGAAGACCCGTTAAACTTGACCCCGATGAAGATGACTGTGACAGTCTATGTAATATGCTGCAAATCTTGAGTGAAGAGTTTTGGATGGTTATCAACAGCGGCTCACACCGCCAAGCCTGAGGATAAATTGTTCGAACTATGATCAAAACATGTGAAGAAAACCGCACCCCTTAACACATGCACGGACACACACCAGATAGTCTGTCAAATTTGAGGTATTTAATGCACAATTATTCGTTCAATTTCCGTGTATTCAAAGGGAAATGCAGAAGCATCATAACATACTGTGATTGCAATTATTGTTGTAAGGTTTCTATGTCTTGCACCATGGGTTTCCTTGACTGTATGTCTTTTCAAATGAAATAAATCAATAGAGATTCCCAAATGAAAATCCTCAAGCATGGCCTAGAAACAAGGACATGAATTTAGCACAAGAATAGATTTGCACTTACACTTGAAATTTTGCTCGACATTGGAGACCAGTTTTCGATGAATTCCCTAGCTCTATTGACAGCCATATCTAATTCTTCACACTCTCTATATAGAATGTCATCTGACGGTACTTTAAAGTCGACTACTTCATCAATCAATGGCTTCAAAAGCTTCAGTACATCAACTATGGTTCTGTAATCCTTCTGAATAGGAATATGTTTCAATGTTTGGCTTGAAACTAGATGAACGAATCGAGATATACTGTTTATCAGACATTTCATAGATGCTGTGTCCATATCACCTGTTTGAGAAGAGAAACCACAAATAAATACTACAAACGACAGAGAATTATTATCGAAAACATTGCTAATGTGTTCTGCGAAACTAGTTTGGATATCTGGTTCTGAAACTCCTACAGAACCTATTGCTTTAAAGGCTGTATACCAATTGGTTCTCTTTGTCTACGTAACAACTTAAAAGAACGGTCCTTGGATTATGGAGCAACCATCAATTATGTGTTGCAACGATTCTCTCAACAATGTATATACAATTCTAGATTCTAAAACATTGAATAACTATTGCAAATATCAGAATCTTTACACTCATTGTCTGCCTCTTGCTGTTTCAAAAAACCAAATTTTCGGGCTAAAAGCATTTCGATTCAAGCTACCAAATCAATTTTATTACACACTCTGCAAACACAAAAACACGCAAGGGGGGAAAACATTATTGAAATCTTAACTCTTTATCCTTTTTTCACAATTTGATACCAGAGCACAGAAGAAACTCAGCTCAACTTTGTCAAATGGTAATTTTCGATTGATTTTGTTTCCGAAAACCAACACAAAATGAGATTCAAAAACTAATTCTCCTCCCCTCAGCTCAACTTCCTTGGTCTTTTTAGAAACAACAACCAGAGGCAGGTGAATTCACTAAACCAAAAACGTTTCATTTCCTCCAACCTAAAAATAACAATACCTTAATTTCTCCTAAAACAATGCTGATCAAACATGTTACAGATTATCAAACTCGCAATGAACACAAACCCAGAAAAATTCACAGAAAACCCAGAAGAATAAACACAGCTAAATCCAAACTAAACAAACAACACCAACCATTTCCTCCCCCACCCATTAACATAAGACAAACATCACCAAACATTTTACTGGGAAAATAATAATAAAAACAACAACATTGGATAAAACGAAAATTGTTAACTTTGAATCAAACTATACCTCTATTCATGCAGTTAGAGGCTTAGAGCTGGTGGGTTATGAGGCATAAAAAAGGGATCTTGATGAACCCAAAGCCAAAGGTGAAAACTTTGACATGAAACTTCAATTGGGTTTTTGGTTCAAGAATGTTCAAGAATCAATCTAACCCTCATGCACTGCTTTCGTTACAAATCTGCATGAGAGAGAAGGAGAGAGTGTGTGTGTGTGTTGGGAATGAATAAATTTAGAGGAAATTAAATTAAAAAAGTAAATTAAAAGAAAGAAAGAAAGAAACAAAATTGGTGGGGTCTATTTGGCTGCAGATTTGTTGGGCGAGGAGGGGAAGATTAATTAAGAGGTTAATGAAGAAGGTAAAATGTAAAAGGAGGAGACTTTCTCACTTTGGGGATCTAATCATGATTAGAGAGAAAATTTGTAAGAGAAGTCAAGCCTTTTTTAATTAAAGTATTAGAGGATGCATTGGAACAATGATATCCGGGAAAAGATTCCACAGAGGAAGTGCCATGATTGTTTGTCTAATTTCCTTTTGAAAAATGCTAAAACCATACTTTTTATAAGTTTTTTATCATTTTATAATTTAATGTTAATTTTCATGCTAATTTTATAAAATATTAATTAAAAATATGAGATATGAGAGAATTTATAAAAATTCTTTTATCCTTAGTACTTCTCTTTTCTTTTTAGTTTACTAATGTGTCATTCACATCTCACAATTTTACCGCGTATGCATAAGTTTTTCTACTTCCCAACATTAAACTAAGAATATACTCACTAATGTTATATTTTAATATTTTCTTATAGAACATGTTACTTTTTTTTTTAATAAATGATAGCGTTAGTGAGTTGAATATATAGTTGTATGAGGAAGGGGAATCGGTGGGAATTGAATCCGCATCATGGTGCAGAGGCACGATTCCTTTCTTTAAGGCATCATTTGCAATATTTACTTATTTGAAATTGGAGAAGTCATGAATAAGAGGGAGAAAATAAGAACATTATCAACTAATCCTTCTAATCAATTTACTTTCTACCTTTAAGTGATGGATTGTTCAAGTAGTTAAGACATTCTTCTTTAACTCAATGCATTCCGAGTTTAAATGCATGTATTAGTAAATAACGCAAATGTCACTTTATAGTATGTCAGTCACCTATTATATTGTCGTATGTGTTCATAGAAACAAATCAGGAATCAGAATAATTTTAATACGCATACTAGTAAACAACGCAAATATCAATTTACTATATAAAGGGAGAGAATTTGAAGTTTGGAAGATATGTAATGCTTTTATACAAGCTACACGATCTAAAATAAGGGGGTGACAACAAATTATTCAAGATTCAAAGGAGGTTGTAGAATTGGGATAAGTGGGGTGACCAAATATCTAACAACTATCAACACTTCTTTAAATATAGGCGATGGGGGAGTATTACGAGATGATGGTGATGATTGGTTGGATGGGCTTTCGGTCAATTTAAGCAGAGAGTTGGTGGTTGATGCTGAAATTTGGGAGCTTTATTTTGGCATACAGCTTGCAGTAAACAAAAGTGTTTTAAGCCTTGTGTGGAGATGGATCCGGCTATAGTGGTTAATTTAGTTAACACTATAACTAATATCAGCTTTCATCTTATTGCCAACATTATTGATCATTGCAGTCAATTTATAGCATGCTTAGTAGATTGCGAGTTGGTTCATGTCTACTGGGAGATGAACGTTGTGGCGGATGACCTTGCCAACTGAAGATTTAATATGAGTCTTGGGTACCACTATTTTGAGAATCCACCTGAATGGATTATAACCCATTTATTTGATAGCATGATCGGAGTCTCTAGGACTCGAACAGTTTGTAATAATTTATTGAGTTAGCTTTGGAATGATCTACCCCATTATGTAACCAAAAAAAAAATTATAACTTAATTTATAGACGTCACCTACTCCAATTAATCTCATGTTATGATCTATTAACTATAATTAAGGATATATAAAATATGATTTAGAATTTCAGCTGTTATGCCACTTCACCTGCCTCCTAGCTAGAACGCAGAGAATAAGTGAGACTCATACCTGCCCAACCGAAATAAATCTATTTTGTTTTGTTTTTTACCCCCAAGTTTAACCATAAGATGATTAGTTTTAAGACAAAAATTAGCAACTTATTTAATGAATGATTAATGTCACATCCCGGCCCGGGATGTGGTGGGGGCCCGGGCTAAGGTATATATTTGATCACCGAGCATGTAAAATGACAATAATGCCCTCGTGATTTAGTGCGGGCTGTAACAATTACAACCTATATGCTATTTGTAAAAAAATATATAAAGAACATGGATAATTTCCCTGAGAAAATTAGTTGATTTCAGTTTTGCTAATTAAAAGCATGGGATTTTCTATAAGATTCATGTCAAACGATACCAAACAAGAAGTTGTGATGGGGCATCTCCTTGCAGTGGCGAAGCCAGGAATTGACGGGGGGAGGGGTGAAGTTAAAAGAGTGCAAGGTTCAAAACAATAGCAACAACCAAATCATTTTCTATAATAATGTCTTCCATAATTTATCAATACAAACAAATTACAATTGTTGCCGACGAGGTTTCATATCATGAAAACGTCGCATAATAGGCTCATTATCAATAAAAGTAAATACATCTCTCTCAATATAAACAAGCATACTATCACTCAACCATTGATCTCCCATTTTGTTACGCAATGGTGTTTTCACAATCTTCATAGCAGAAAAAGCTCTCTTCACCGAAGCGGTTGCAACCGGTAAAACCAAAGCCAATGTAAGAAGCTTATACACTAATATATAGCTTGCAAACCTCCCAGTCTTCACCAACTCTTTTGCAAGATCACCAATTCCTCTCAATGATGAAAACTCATTGTGCATCTTCATATCGTAAATGTAATTGTCAAGTTGAATTGGAAGGTTCATGAGGTCCATACGATCAAAATCTTGAGGATAAAGTTGAGCTAGACGAACAATTTTTGCTTTGTCAAAAGATGCAAAATTATTCACCGGACTCAAACATGCCATACAAAGAAGCAACTCGGTGTTTACCTCATTAAAGCGATCATTCAATTCCTTTAATTGTGTGTCAAGGACTTGAAAATAGAGGTCCACACGATAGTAATGGAAGTTTGTGAGTCTTGGAGCTTTACGCCTTGATTTTCCGGGTACGAAATGCAAATCCTTCATGTTAGGAACGACAATATCATGCTCTTGACAAAACTTTTGTACATCATCAAGTAAGTCCCCAAAGTCATCATCTCTCAAGGATTGTAATCTTTGCTTGCATACTTCCACTAACGTCATTGCAGTCACAATATCTTGATATTTCTTTTGTAATGCTTGTGATAACTCATTTGTAATTCCCAATACGAGTCTCATCAAAAAAAGGTGAAACACAAAATCAAAAGTTTGTATGTTATGAAATAACTGACTTATTTCACCGAAACTGTCTTGGTTGGTATCATCTTTAATCCATTCAAGCACCTCCACCACGGCTTCAAACATGACAATAATACTAATTATAGTACCATAATGTGAGTTCCAACGTGTATCACAAGGACGCATGAGACTACTCTCTTGATTTAACCCTCTACCCGTTTCAAGATCACCAATATCAAGAGCTTTCTTAATTTGTTCCAGTTGTTTCTCTCTAAATGCATCACGACGCTTACACGATGATCCAATAGTATTGACCAAAATACTAGCATTGTTGAAGAAAATGGCAACACCCTCAATTCCTTTTGCAACGGCTACAAGAGCTAGTTGAAGTTGGTGTGCAAAACAATGAACATAAAATGCTTGAGGATACTTGTTCAAAATTTTTGCTTTAAGGCCATTGAGTTCTCCTTTCATATTACTAGCTCCATCATAGCCTTGTCCCCGTAACTTGGACATACTCAAATTTGTTGAAGCAAATAATCTCTCAACGGCCTCTTCAAGCGAGCTACTAGTTGTAGATGAGACATGTTGCACACCCAAAAACCTTTCAATTACTTCTCCTTCTTTGTTCACATAACGCAATACCACCGTCATTTGCTCTTTAGTGGAAGAATCACGTGATCCATCAACCAAAAGAGAAAAAAATGTACCTTCCATATCTTTAGTAATTGCACCAATAGTTTCAATGGCGCAAGCACGGACAAGATCTTTTTGAATATCGGAAGAAGTATACTTGAGATTCTTGGGAGCATTCTCAAACACAACCTTCCTAACTTTATCATTATGATCGGCAAGAAATTGCATAAGCTCCAAATAATTACCCCTATTGCTTGATTTGAACGATTCATCATGGCCACGAAAAGGCAAACCTTGTTGCAACAACCATCTTGTGCAATCAAGTGCGCCACACAATAAAGTGTGATAATTAATGCGAGCTTCATCAGTTTGCTTAATCACAAATGTTTCAATATGTTGCTTTTGCGTCATCAAATCTCTAGCTTGTTGTAAAGCTTTATTATGAAGACTTCCAACACCTCCCTCATGATCTCGAAAATTTTCGGGTCCTTTCCTCCAATTTGTAAACCCAATCTCGGTGAAGACATCACTTCCGGCATTTCCCTCTTTATCAAAATCACACTTGAATAGATAGCAATAACGGCAAAATGCAACATCTTTTACTATACTATACTCCAACCACTTAAAATTATCAAACCAACGGGTAACAAAACATCGATTGTTGCTAACTTTTCTGGGCATGATGTGGTCTTTAGGTTGACAAGGATTATTTTGGAGATAGTGTCGACGAATTGCTTCACGATAATTAGGTGGATAATCAAGCATTCGACATCTATGTCCAGGGTCTGAAGGAAGATTAGCCAGTATTTCATCCAACTCAGTGACCTCACTTTGTTGGGAACTACCCGGAATATTCGAAGAATGAATATTTGGAATATTCGAAGGAGGACTACTCGGAATATTCGAAGAAGGACTAGCCGAAATATTTGAAGGAGGATTTAAGCACTGTTTCTTATAGTATCGTTCCATTATGTAACTGTATATGGAAAAGACAAGAAAAAGTCTTAGACTCTTAATCCTAGAGTAAACTATACTATAGTCAATATGAGTACTAACTAATTAAACCAACAATTCAATTAATCAATACCAATATTCATATAAATTATTTAATACACAAAAATTCAATTCATAAATTAATATCAATAATCAAGAATTCAATTTTTACTCTAGTCAATAATTTCATTCATCAATAATCATTCATAGGATTCATATTTATACGCAAAAATCAAAAATCAATAACTATATTAGTGTATTACTCTATGATTCTATATTAATAAACTAAAATTTCGTATTAATTAATCAATTAGGGTTAGGGATAATATAAATTAGAAAGTTAAAAAATTTACCCAAAATTGAGAGAGAAGTGAAAAACCAACCAGTAGGTTGGCTGCTAGAGGCTGGCGGCTGGCTGGCTCGACTTGAAGGAGAAATAAGGGACAACGGAACGGGACGGAGGGTGCTG